CATAACCCGAGACTTAATGAATTGGCCATCGTCAATTAGCGTCGACTAGTCGGTATGCAGAGTTGGGACCTTCTTTGAACGTAGATTCTCTCTCTCTCTCTCTCTCTCTCTCTCTCTCTCTCTCTCCATAAATATAGCACACCTTAAAACTGTATTTCTTCATATATATATATATATATATATATATATATATATCCATAAATATAGCACACTTAAAAACTGTATTTCATATATATATTATATATATATATATATATATATATATATATATATATATATATATATATATATAAGGAAATATATATATATATATATATCCCTAAATATAACACCTTAAAACTGTATTTCTTCATATATATATATATATATATATATATATATATAAATAAATATATATATATATATATATATATATGTATATCCCATAATTATAGCACACCTTAAAACTGTATTTCTTCATATATATATATATATATATATATATATATATATATATATATATATATATATATATATATATATTCTCTTTGTATCTTTCCCGGTGAGTTGACCTATTACATAAGTCAATGTCTGATCCTTACCCACTCCTCACTATTAAGTATTGTAATAAAATAAGAATAAATTTTAAAGCATTCCTATCTCTCCATTCCCTCTCTAATTTCGATCATGTCTGTCACACTATATCTCATACACTCTCTATATCACCTTACATAAGCTTAATACTGCCCTTCAAAAGTGTAAGTTTAAATTCAAGTGAATTACAATTAATGAGATTCAAACGATTTACCTCATACAGATGATCATTTTGTCCATGGGAAACTAGTTTTTCCCTGGACTTATTAATGCAAATATATTTACTAAAGGTTTTTTTAGCAAATGTTTTTAGTAAATGTATTTGGATTGATAAGCCCAGCGAAAAACAACTTTCTCATGGACGAAATGATCATTTGCTTGAGGTAAATTGTTTGGATTTCATTAATTGTAATTCACTTTTATGTTCTATAATAAAAATATATTGTGCTCTCTTTTGTGGATCAGTTTTAATATTTTATATTAATAGGATCTACTTGGATTACTTAACCACAAATTGATATATATATATATATATATATATATATATATATATATATATATCCATTCAAACATGTTTGACTGAATAATCTAGATATATTATGCACATCTATTTTAATTTTAATCCCCTCAAATTCACGGATGAATTTCTTAGTGTTGTTATTAAATTGATTAAGAAAACCACCGTAGTTTGGGTTATTTCTTTTATTGCATTATGGCATTGATAACGAGAAAATAATCTTAAATTGTAAAAATATTTTCTGGCTTTAAATAACCTTTTGCATGTTATTTAAAGCCAGAAAATAGATTGTAAGAATGTTTTTGGCGATAATAATAATTTTACTGATACAAGTGTATTAACTAACCCATAGGTGGGGGAAGTGCTGGATACATACCTTTCTAAGCGTATTTGTGCGTAAGTAAATATATATGTACCAGATTTCCAGTTCCGTGCCATTATCCATTGCCCTACTCTGAGTTTACAGCACCTGGTATTTTCAAGCGGTCACCCATTTAGGTACCAAGCTCGACGTTGCTTAACTTCAGTATTTCTACGTGAGATGGCCGTAAGCCCGTATTGCTTGGTAACGTGCGGAAGTGTTAGCAAAAGTTGGGTCGTACAATGTCAGCTTAAGAATAAAAAAGTGTTGAAATTCTACACTTGTTTTTGTTTTTTTATTGAGGAGATAGCACAAAGGTCAATTGTAAACATCGCTATTGTATTTTAAGTATATCCGGATTGCGACTGAAGTTTCGTGTTTCCGTCGTAACTTTTATATTAGGTTGTCCCACATAAAATGACGCATTTTTTGGTTGGTAGTTGATCCAGCTGCTAACGAAGTAACCTCCTTAGTATATAGTGATTTTCCAAGCGTAGCTTAGATGTGGCACAAGGCCGAAATTAGGGGGCACCCAGTGAGGATCGAACTCACTACTTAGTCGTAATTTTTCTAGCGAGCCAAGCTTGCTAACCATTACACCGCCTCGAGGTACCCGACCTCCTTAGTATATATATAAAAAAAACTTGACATATTCCTGACTTTTTTCTTTCCAGATAATCTTGCTTTCACTCGAGATCCATCCAACCGATGTTGACCAAACTTGGCACATACATTGTACAATGTAAGAGCGTAAAAATCGATATTTTTAAAAAAATCAATAATTGATAAAGCCGATCAAAAATCGATAAATTAAAACTTTTTCTTCCGATTACGTGCAAACTCAGTATGTTCGTTACTTACATCCTGATGGACTCAACGATACATCATTTTTATTTCGACACCACTGCGCTTAGCGAAAAACCGCGAAAAACGGAAAATCGATTTCAACCCAAATCGATTTCAACTCAAATTTTAAACTAAAAACTCCCTCAATTTTCAAGCAGTCCAATACAAACTTCACCCAATTGTAGCCAACAATAAGTTGATTGTTTAGCAGTCATTTAACTTGATAATCGACTCCACCTATATTGTTAAACCCCGCGTAAATAGCACAAAATGGCGATTTTTACTGGTTTATTACTTATTTTTCGCTGATGTTTCAACCAATTTTTATCAAACTTAACAATTTCTTTATAAATGTATCCTCTTTTACATCTCTACATGATACTGACAAACTGAATTTCAAAAACTCCAAAATAATTGTGGTCTGAAGTGGGTCTTCATGTTACCTGTTTTACCCCTTTATGTCCTCGGCTAACTTCGACTGAATAAATAGAGACTACTTCTGTTATATCAGTAACTGCATTAATTCAAAATGTTTTTAATGAATATACTTTAAAGTAATTGAATAAAATAGGCTGTGTTACATCTAAACATGATGCTGTTTTTGCTCCATTCTAATTGAACGCTTTTTCTGATCGACCAGCTGGGTATGGCTGCTAGTTTTACTATAAAATGCATTGTTGGTCCTTTTATTATAAAAATGTACTGTTGATTTTTGTTTTGGAGGATTCACTATTTGTCCATAGTATGGACCCTAACAGGTTCTACGACACCGGGTCAGGGTAGGGCTGTGAACGACAGCTATTAAGATATTAAAATATTTTAAGATTGTAACAATTCTTTGGAGATAATAATGTTTTACTGAATCAAGTCCTACTTATTAACCCATAGAATTGAGGAGAAGAAGTAGATTCATAACACAAAATCTCAGATCACCTGATCAGAGGCCTTGCTAATGAATGTAGTTTAGTGTCATACCCTGGAGGCGCATGGTGGAGTAAAGGATAGAGGCTCGGATTGAGGAATCGGAGAGCAGAGTTCGAATTCCAGTCGAGTTCACCAATCTCTTCTCCATCGCTCAGCTATGGGTGAATAGTGGGTCAAATAGAGCCCTTTAGCCTTGGTTGGCAACCAGTCTAGGAGAAGGAAAAATCTGAATTCAAACCAGCCTGGAACTGCTCGGATTGCACTATTCTAAATTATGTATGTATGCAGCTGGGGGCCGATTGTGAATCCAAATTCCTGCTGCAGCACCCTTCTGGATGCAACACCTTCGTTTAACGGAACCGGCTCAACCTATCCCGGGTGAATTCCGCAACAAGTAGGACAGACTGGGTTCTATAGCTTTGAGTGGCAACCCGTCAAAGAGAACAAAAATTCTGAATTCTAACCTGGAGAGGCTCGGGCTTTGTCGGACTATCTTGGCCAAGACACACCACGTCTACTGCGGCTACAGTACGTGTAGTACCCCTTAGAACCTGATGGGTTGCGGGACATGGGATAGTGATCGTTGTTAAAAGTCCTCAAATGATGTGGTTTTCGTTATTTGGTATAGCTTCTTGTTTGTGATTCATTAACAAAAGGTTCAAGTAATTCGGCATTCATTGACCGAGCAGCCATTACTGCTTTACTGCTTTCGGCTGAATCTTAAAAAATCTTTCTCTTAAAACAATTTTTCAAGAAAATAAGTCCCTCAAAGCCAGTAACTGTTACCGTTCTTTCTAGTACTGATGGGGGGTTTCCTTCCTAACCTTTTGTTTGAAGCCGTGTGGAATGTTAACATCTAAATGATGTCATTATTTTCTCTTCGCGTTACATGAGCTATCCATTTTTAATGTTGCTGTTGTTGAAAATCCTCAAGTGATGTTGTTTCTGTTATCTGTTAGAGTTCTTCGTTTGTGATTATGTAGCGCCAGTCCACAAAGTTCGAAGACAGATGGTCCTCACCGTGATCTACAAGTTTCATTCATTCAAAGCCATTTTTCCTTATAAGGAAACATTAGGCACTCATTGACCGAGCTGCTAGTGTTAGCCAAGTTGAGCTTTTCTTCATTCTAGACGTTGAGCTGGGATCAAAGTGTAGCATCTGTTCTCGTCTTTAATGGGAGTAGTCACCGTTTTCTTATAAGGAAACATTCGACATTTACTGACCGGACAGCCAGTTCTACTTTCAGTTGAGATTTATAAAAATCTTTTTCTATAAAAGATTTTTCGGGAAAATAGGTTTCTCAAATCCAGTAACTGTTATTGCTCTTTACATTACTGATGGGAGTTTTCCTTCCTAACCTTTTGTTTGAAGCTGTGTGGAATGTCAACAACTTGATTAGGTTTCTAATTTCTATTCGCGTTACATGTAATATACATTTTAGTAGTTGTTGAAACTCCTCAAGTGATGTGGCTTCAGTTATTTGGTATATTTGATGTTTGCGATTGTGTAGCACCAGTCCACATGGTTCGAAGAGGGATGATTCTCTCTAAGAGTTACAGGCTTTATTTAACCAAAGGAATTTTTAATTAGTAATCCGAGAAAGCAGTAGCACAGAGCTGTCAGTTTTTATATCTTCGAACGAGTATGGTTTCATCCAGGGCAACGATTTGAAATCTCGATCTGACGAGAACATTTACAAACATGACTCGAGTTTTTAGGTTAATGTTTTGGTTTGGTTTTGTTTGTTTTACGGTATATCAACCTCAATGGGTTATTTAATGCCGACAAGATTTTTTATTGCTGGTAATACTTTTATCTATCTATCTATCTATCTATCTATCTATCTATCTATCTATCTATCCAACAGCAAGGCCTCTGACCAGGAGGTTATTAGGACCGTGAAATCGCCTCTTAACTGCTGGTGTTCTCAGGACCACTCTGACCCGGTTTGGTAGCACCTGTTAGAGTCCTATCTATCTATCTATCTATCTATCTATCTATCTATCTATCTCAGTATATATTGGTTTGGTTTGTTTTACGGCATATCAACCTCAATGGGTTGTTTAATGCCGACAAGATTTTTATTGCTGGTAATACTTTTTATCTATCTATCTATCTATCTATCTATCTATCTATCTATCTATCTATCTATCGTATTACTGGTAATTTTTTTTATCTAAAAATGCATTGCAGGTAATACGTTTTTCTTCAAATATATATCGCTGGCATTATTTTTTCTTTAAAAATGTATTGCTGGTAATAATGTATTGCTGGTAATAATTTTTCCTAAAATAATTTATTGCTGGTATTAAAACCTATTTTTACACTTTCATTGAGTTTTGACCCCGCTTTAGGGGTTAGCTATTTGCCATAGTTTGGACCCTAACAAGTGCTACCTCTCCGGATCATGGGGAACCCAGGAACACCAGCAATTAAGAGGTGGTTCTACGCTCCTGAAAACCTCTTGATCAGAGGCCTTGCTATCGGATGTAGTTTATCGTCTTACCCAGGACGTGGATGTAGTTTATCGTTAATATTTTAGTTTTGTAACAATAGGCGGTATTGTGCGAAACTATTCCGAGCATAATTTAAGTTGGTACAATTTCAATGTGCATTGTAGGGTGTGTCTGTGGCAAACAGGTTCAAGAATTTTGTGGAATAATCGTTCTAAGGCTTTTCTTTGGTGTATTAATTATCTATGCACTGTGTTCAATTTTTATCTACACGTCATCAAACATTGAGCATTGGAAAAAAAGACATCGTATTTATTATATCATGGGAAAAAGATATGAGTTCACTTTTATAGAAAACATGCCCAAGGACGAGCGGTATTGTTAAAATTATTTTATTTTTATAATATCGATCTGGTTTCAATATAATAACATCTGCTCTTATGCAAATGTAACCTTTTTTTTTTATTCGTCATTTTGACATTGTCTTCGTTCAAGAAACTGGTGCACTGGTAAAGGTAAAAAAAGCTAAATTTTTCCCCATTGAAAAATAATGTCTATGAAACAGAAAAAGAAATATATAAATAAAGAAATAATCCAGGCATTCATTACATCAGTTGATCAAATCTCAATCGCGTCGTCAAATTTTTTAACTTACTTATGATCAATAAATACGAAACCTTCGATAGTTCTCATGGCTATAGATATGGGGGGGGGTCTACCAAAATCCTTCAGGACGTGGGTGATCATAGCTCACCACAGCTTCCTATCCTTTGTAGCTCTTAGCCATGTTTGTTTTCATTATCCAACCTACTAAAAAAGACATAAACCTGGTAATAAATAAAATAATATTTCTTAAAAGTTTCACCAAATTATCATCTCCTTAACACCTCGTTAACCATTACAACAGAATTCTTAAAGGCAGAGCAATCAGCTATTTTCGTTTCTGAAGCCAGATACATGTATAAGCGAAACAAATAATTGAAAACCCTCTACCAAAGCGAAGGACAGTCCTATCGCACTCAACACCCCCCCCGACCACTTACCGACCTAAATATAAACTCAGGGTTTTGAGGTCATTTGAAATTTAACAGGAACAAAGCAAATCTATTTTTATTTTACTTTTACGCTACTAATTGCTGTGAATACAAACATGACCAGTATCGCATACACACACATATATCTATACATATAATTGGGATAAATGGTATTGTAAGTATTGCAAACCACGGAAAATCTTAAAAGCCTGGTGAGTTTGTGTGAATAGATGGCGGCACAGGGCATGGGAGAGATGGCAAAAAGAAAAAAAGTTATGGAGGGCTACAAGGGATAGGAAATTGTGAAGAGGCTTGATCGCCAGCGTCCTGAAGGGACGCGGTGCGTAGAAGAAGAAAAAAGGGAGGACGTTATTGCTAGAAACGAGGGGGCCTGATGATTTTGACCTCTCCGGCGCAAAATAGGTACCACAAATTACGGTTGATTAAATGCATAATTTAACTAATTTGATTAAATCATTAATTAAAACGAGCGAATGATTACTTCCGCTAGACGAAGTGAATTTTAACATTCTGATTGTCTAAGTTTGGCACAAGGCCTTTATTAACAGGATGAATTGCGCATCCGATCTTATGGCCATATCACGTTGAAACATTGGTTCTCGTAGAATCATAGAGTTAGTTGTTTTTGCTTAACGGCATATCAACCTCTATGAGTTATTTAATGCCAAAATTTAAATATTTTGTTCACAATTTTATTGTTTTGGGAGATGATAATAGTTTTAGTGATATAACCTTTACTAATTAACCCTTAACTGAGGGGGAGAAGAGATAGATTCATAACTTTCCCAAGGGTATTTACACATAAATGATTATAACGAACCCGAGTGGAATTGAAACTCGGCTCTCCGATTTCCAATTCAGAGCCATTATCCATTACACCACCCGCATCCCATATCCAAGCTTACAGCACCTGGTATTCTAAAGCGGTTACCCATCCAGGTACTAATCATGCTTAATGTTGCTTATCTTCGGTGATTGTACGTGATGTCGGCGTAAGACCCAGGATCATAGAAGTTAAGCAACTTCAAGCTTGGTGGGTACCTACATGAGTGACCCCTTGGGAATATCAGGTGTTGTAAATTTAGATGTGCGGATGTGTAATGGATAACGACTCGAAATTAGAAATTAGAGAAAACCGAGTTCCAATTCCAGTCAGGTTCGTTATTCCAATTACGTGCAATTAATTAATTCGCAGGGTTGTATCGCCAAAAACAAAACAAAAATATCTGTCTATATTTCTGAGATGAGGTATTATGAACATTATTTACATTATTCGGACTATTGTCCTCATCTTTGTCACCATATTTATTATATCGTTTCGGCTTTTCAGTATCTGTCTAGGAGTTATTATGTACACTATTTACATTATCCTCATCTTTGTCGCCATGTTTATCACAACGTTTTCGGCCGTTGTACGTACGTGGTTGGAATGTCGAACTGAACCCTTTATTTCGCTCACTGGGGTAGACTGTTCTAGTTCCACGTGCCATGTTTAATAAATGTCAGTTATCAGTTATCTCCTGTTAATTCCCCGCTCCAAGTTCTTCACTGCCTTCACCGGGTATTGAACTCACACTCTTTGGGTCCTGTCACTGGATCTAAACTAACACCTTTATCCACTGTGCTTGAGGATATCTGTGTATGAATTTCTGGGTATTAATGTCTCAGCAATCATTTTTTTAAAATACTTATTACAATCTAAAAATAAAAGGCTGATAAGCTGTAAAAAAAAAACACGTCAATCAATCAACGTTACGTTTAAATGCGTTTATTAACAATAATTATAGCATTGGAAAATGTTTCGTGAACTTTGACTGTTGGCATTAAGCCAACTCGTTACAGTTGTGCCCACAAAGCCATGCTTAGAAATCTTTGCAAGTAACATTACCAGTAAACAGACCGACTAATGATAGCGAATAGAATGACTAAAAATTTGTTCTAGACCTAGATAATTTCCCAAGCGCAAAATATAGATACTCATGCCAAATGCTTAATTAAATTCAGAATATAACTAATTAATTAATACCGTTGAAAGAACTAGTTCCAATAGAAGTCTGACACAAGATCATTGCTATCAGAATATTTTGTATATTCGATTTTACCTTTAAGTTCGTCTGTTACCTGTAAATATTTGTTTTTAACATGTTATTGAAAGAGTTACCACATATGCCAGGATCTCCCTAGTAGGTCCAGCGTAGAAATAAATACGATACAGGAGCCGTTAATAAATAAAGACAAATGACAGCAAGTCTTAAACAGCAGCATTAGCAGCTGTATCAATAGAGAAAAGCTTAAGTGAGTCAAACATGAGACGCAGCAACAGCAGCACTCGTCAGCAGTCAGTTTAGGTTTATTGCTCCAACTTCTCTGCAAAGAATTATTCTACAGGACCAGTGGATTAAATTGTTGGTTCGTGTATTCAATGACATAATGTGTGTTCAAACCAGGCAGTGTGTACTTGGGCTCAGTGGAAACAGGGCGAGCAATAACAGCAGTACTAAAGATAAGAACTAGACGATATATCTCTAGACATGGAATGAGAACAGTCTACCACCATATATAAAATAAAGGGTTCAGTTCGGAATTCCTTGTAGGGGGTCCGGGTCGATATACACCCGACGAAGGCCGGAGGGTAGAACAGTCGAAACGTTGTGAAAACAGCAACAAACAAGATGACAGTAGTCCGAATGTACATATGTTAAATTATAGTTTTTTTTTAAGCATTCAACCCCCAAGCAAGGGGGGAAGCCACTAGCAAGCAAGGGGTTACAGAGCGTTGGAGCGAGAGCAAAGAGGAGTGATAGAGGAAAGGATGAAGAGACAATTAGGGGATAGATCAGGGCATCTAGAGACGTCGATGGACGTTACATTTGAATATTTGGAGATTATAGCTATCAGGAAAACAAGAAATGGGGAGGGAGTTCCACAGGCGAGAAGTGCGAGACACGAAGCTAATGGAGTAGGAGAGACGGCTACATTTAACAGTTTCGACAGTGAAAGGGTGAGAGCGAGATGCCAGCCTAATAGAACGCTTAAATTCATGAAGTCTGGGAACCAGCGAAAGCAGCTCATCGGAGCAGTTACCATGAAATTATTTTTAAAAAAAGACAGGGAGGCGACGGCAGGTCTGTGAGAGAGCGACTGCAGACGAGATGCCAGATCAGGGCCAATTATGTTGCATATCCGTCTTTGGATTTTATCAAGGACCTTGAGACAATTAGAAGGGGTTCCAGACCATATATGACAGCAATACTCCATGCAAGGGCGAATGGTTGATTTGTAGACTTGAAGAATCGACTCAGGCGAGAAAAATTTCCTGGCGCGGCATAGGGAGCCAACTTTCCTAGCGGTGGACGAAGCTATTGACTGAATGTATTCGTTCCATCCTCAGGTCAGCGGACAATGTGAGACCGAGCAGTAGCAAAGTAGTGCTCTCGTGGAGTTGAGCGTCAGACATTCTAATGGTGGGTGGGCTGGGATAGTTCTCTAGCAGACCGTTATTTTTAAAGGATGTGTATCGCTGCTGTGACTTTCTAGGGTTAACCTCTGAGATCAGATGAAAGACAAAACAAGGAAGTCAATTTTGATTGGCTGAGCCAGCGTGAAAAATATAGATAGAGAAAGGGATTTCAAGGAGTTGCTTCTTATACGTCA